TCCTTCTCCTTTCCCCTCTGTAAAAAAAAAACCAGTAAAATATATTAAAAAAACAAATACTGATTTCTATTAAAATAATAGTAATAATAACACCATCCAAGCCCCAGCTTCTTCCTGTTTCCATCCTCTGTTGGCCTTTTGTCCCAGGCTTATCATCCCAGTACATCAATAAAAATATATTTCCAAAGAGCCAATATAAAATAATAGTAATAATAACACCACCCAAGCCCCAGCTTCTTCCTGTGTCTCCATCTCTGTTGGCCTTTTGCCCCAGGCTTATCATCCCAATACATCAATAAAAATATATTTCCAAAGAGCCAATGACTGCACAAATAGGTGGAACAACAAATTGATGTTTCCGCCGCCCCCCCCCCATCTCTCTAAAAATCAAAAAAAAACCTGCTTCCCATGTTAACGCTTCTGCGTCCCCCGGGGAGGGAAGATCTTTGTGGGGAAGTAAGTACCAAGGTTCCCAGGCTCCATCTAGAAAGATTGCAGAGCAAGTAGGCGCTAGGCCCTGCTGCGTTTTATTTGTATGTTTTATAGTAAAGGTGGAAATTGATCGAAGAATAATACATGGGGAGGGGAAAAGAGTCCCTTATTTTTATTTTTTTTAATTTTTTTAATTTTTTTTAAAATATATTTTATTTTACAAAGAGTATTACATATGTCTCCTTCCCTCCACCCCCCGGCTTGACATTCCCTCAGCCTCCCCTAACCCCCAGAATGGATTTATTTTTAATGTTTAGTTTCCCCTTTAACTGTGAGCTCCTTGAGGGCAAGTATATTTCTCAGTGGTGTTTATTTTACTAAGGCCTACAGAGTTCCTGGCATTTAGAATTTACTAAGTCACCATTGAGCCACGCTGTGCTTTAGCTCAGGAATTCAGGGGAGCTGGCTGATGCGTGTCCCCCACCCCAAATCCTTCATTCCTTCCCATTAGATCCCCGGGAAACCTACCGGGACCACGTCCGCAGGAAATTCCGGCTGATGGAGGACCGCAACGCGCGCCTGGGCGAGTGCGTCAACTTCAGCCACCGCTACACGCGGCTGCTCCTGGTGAAGGAGCACTCCACCCCGCTGTGGGCCCAGCAGAAGCTGCTGGACATGGGCCGGGCGCACGCGAGGGCCGGGGGACACCAGGCCAGCCTCATCCAGATGGACACGCTGTTCGAGCCGGACGCCGAGCGGCCGGAGCCCCCGCGCACCGTGGTCCTGCAGGGCGCGGCGGGCATGGGCAAGTCCATGCTGGCCCACAAGGCCATGCTGGACTGGGCCGACGGCCGGCTCTTCCAGGGCCGCTTCGACTACCTCTTCTACATCAACTGCCGGGAG